ATGGAATTACTTAATTCAAGGCAAGAGCTTGTATTTAGCAATGCATTCTCAAAATGGTTTATTCCATCTGAAAATGTACAGATAAAGCCAAATTGGTAGTAGGTGAAACTAGAGACTCCTGGGCTCATTTCCCATTTGCTGCATTGTTCTATCCATAGATGACACTGTTCTTGATTTGTAAGCAGTCTGTGCCTCATTGCCATCTGGCTCAGCCCAGCTCCAGCACCATAAGGTGAACTGAACTGTTAGTGGTAGGAAATAGTGCTCTATATTTGTCACGATGTACTAGCACAGACCCAGAAGTCAATAACTGCTTGACATTCCAGAAAACGTTCTCATGGCAGTGAGTTAAACTTCATGGAATGTCTTTTTCCAGTGGATGATGAAGTCATTTAGCAATGGTTACCTTTTGTGGAAGAAAATCTTGTTAAAAAGTAAGTAGCCCCAGGAAGGCTTGAAGTTTATGCTCTTGTTTTTGACATAGACATACTACCCATTGTACATATTTTATTTAGGCTAGGGAAAACACTAGATGCACTGATATGGTAGCTTAAGAAGATAACACAGGAAGTTCCAATTATATGTTTTTTTCCTTTTTTCCATTTGATTATATGTTATATTGAGTTGATGTGGAACTTCTAAAAGTCCTTTTGTGTTTTCATCTGTATTCCTCTTAATAATTAGGACATCATCAAACCAGGTAGTGTGCCTGGAAGTTCAGAAAACAAAATCTCTGGGCAGGACTAGAAACTTCCAAGACAACAGGAGTTCTAGATTGACCTTCTTATTTCCCTGCCTTCATATCTGCTCAATATTCTCTACTCTTGGACCATATAGGACCACCCCCAGTCTGTCAGGTGTGGGAACATATCACATCTACAGCTGCTCTACCTAGAGGAACTAAACACTCAATCTCCATGCCCTTTTGGTTCATATGTCTTCTGTTTGCTTAGGAGGTTCTTCTGTTCATTGGGGCATCTAATCCCTTGACCCATCAATATTTTTATTTCCAACCTTATCCTGTGTTCAGTTCTCCACATTGCAGCTAGGAAGATCTTACAATGCAAACATTATCATTCAAGACCTTCTGGTGACTTCCTATTAATTCTATGATAAATAACATTTCATATGACCTTTGACTTTATCTGGCTCTGTGCCTACCTCTGCAGCCTCAACTATGCTACTCTCCTCTTGTTCTCTAATGGCTGTTGCTTCTTTCTACTACAGGTCCTTTGCACATACAGTTCCCTTTGCCAATAATAACCTTCTCTCCACCTAGCCCTTTACCTAGTTAATGCCTATGAATTCTTACATCTCAGTTCCTAGATCACTTTCCAGGGAATCTTTCCTACTTTCACAGCTCCCAACCAAATAAGATTAAATCCACCTATTATAAGATTTCATTGTGTCCTATACTTTTCTAGTATCTGCCACTGCTTGTAATCATTTGTGTGAATGTTTGATTAATGTCTGTTACTTTATTAGAATGTAAGTCTCATGTAAAGGACTATTTATCTTGTCATTTTTTACCCATTGTACCCAGACTTTGGCACACAGTAAGTTATATCATTAAATATTTGCTGAATACATAAATAAATATACTTTTATCAATTTAATCATTATACTAATTCCAAACGGAAGCACTGATATAAAAGTTAAGGTTCTGAAATGATATAACTTGCCCAATATCACACATGTTAAGTAAATGGCAGGACTGGGATTCATTTTGCTACTATATGTCTTATTGGGGCAAGGATAGCTTTTAAAGAATCTTAATTAGACCACACATTTTGTTTCAGAGTTTCACTATCAAATTAAATAATTTTTTATTTGTGATATAAACTGTATGGTATAGGGCTTGATTTTTTTAATAAAACAAAAACATCCTCCAGTTTAAATTAACTGAGGATATTTAAACAAGTTTTGAAATAGATATTTTGGGTCATTAAAAACAATTATATTCAAAAATGCTTGTGATAGGATATTAATTAAGTGGAAAAAAAAGCAGACTAGAAATTTATGTATAATAACATATTAATTATGTAAAAATGAATACAGAGAGACTAGAAAGAAGTATGCTATCTTATTAACAGGTGTTTCTTCTGGGTGATGGTATCATGGAGAATTTTGTTTCTCCTTATGTTTTCTGTACATGTCCAATTTTCTATAGTGATAATGTATTATTTTTTAAACGTTCTTATTTAAACTATATTTATTAAATAAACACTGTAGCAATAATAAAAAGGAAAAAATAATTATTAAAAGAACTCATAATCTTACTTCAATACTTGCAAAATCTATTTGGTGATCTTTAGTTTGATTATATTCTTGTTTCAGCTGCTACTTAGTTTTCACTTTCTAATGATCGTTGACCAGTTATCTTTGCTTTAAAATTTTAAACCTTTATAATGATAAACATACATTTTAAGATGTGGTACAGATTAAAGGAAGAAACAGGCGATTCTTCATTTATTAAAAGTAAATTAGACTTCAGCATATTACGGTGGTACAAATGTTTAGGTTATGTATATTGCCTTTGCCCCACCCAAGTCAGAGCTTCAAGCGTGTCCAGATCCAAAAGTTTGAAAACCTTTCTTCACATTATATTTGGCAACACACATTGTTAACATCATATTTACTTACCCCCCCACCTCATCCTTACCCACAAAACAGCAAGCAAACAACCTGTGTAACTTCACAATCAGTGGTTTGTTGAGACACCTCAACTCAAAAATCCTTTGTACCTCACTCACAGCTCTGTTGCAGATTTCCTTTTGGTAGTGTGAGAAACACAAATGCATCATCTATGACACTGACTTTGTTTTTGTCCTTGTGGACAAGGGAGCATGTTTTAAATGTTCAAATAGATGTTTAAAATGTTTAAGATAGCATTTGATATGTTACTAATAGCATTCCTTACCAAATAAAGCAACAGTGTAAGTAGAATAAAACATTGTTACAGGGTATTACTTGGGATCCATTTTAGCTACAATTCTGTTATCCGAAGGCAATCATTTAATCGATTCATTAACATTTACCAAGCATTTATTAACTACCTAACATTCTTCAGTTATCATGTTATACCTAGTAAGGAGACTAAGAGAAAAATGATGTTGTACAATCTATCAGCAACAGTGTACCAGCACCGTACAACAGAACATTCTGTGATGATGGAAATGTTCTGTATCTGTGCTGTCTAATGCAGTAGCCACCAGCCACATGTGGCTATTGAATGCTTGACATATAGCTAGTGTGACTGTGGATCTGAATTAATTAATTTTTTTAAAATAACAGTTTCATTGAGATATAATTCACATGCCATATAATTCACCCATTTTAAGTGTACAATTCAATGATTTTTGGTGCATTCAGAGTTGTGCAACCATCACCACATTTCGTTTTCATTACCCTAACAAGAAACTCGGTACTCATTAGCTGTCACTCCCCTTAAACCCCCAATTTCCCCGGCTGTAGGCAGCCACTAATCTTTTTTCTGTCTACATGAATTTGCCTATTTTAGACATTTCATATAAATGGAATCATAATAAGTGGTCATTTGTGACTGGCTAATTTAATTTTAGTTTATTTAAATTTAATGACCCCATGTGGCTAGTGGCTACTGTAAGAAGCAAATGAAGTGAAAGACCAAAGACAGATGCCTCAGGAAAGCTGAGGGCGAGGAGAAGAAAATCCTGTAGGTCAGAGAGACAGGAGATGAACCTGGACAGAGCCTAAAGATGACAGGTTCCTGAAGGAGGGGATGGTTAAAGTATCAAATAATGCAGATGGGTCAAAGAAAGTACAGTTTCAGTGTAATGCTAGGATAAGAATCCAGATAACAAAGGACACTGGAATGTGGTATTGGTGAAGAATTGTAGGCAAGCAGTACTTTTATGACATTTAGAAATGGAGGGAAGAAAGAAATATTCAAGATAGCTCCAGAGGGGTGTCAGGACTGATGGAAATTTTATTTTCTTGCTGTTAATGATATTTTGCATGGAGGCATGAGTCTATATCTAGGCATAAGAGACAGATTCAGTGGAAATGAAGAGATTAAAAATGATTGAGCAGAGTTCTGGAGGATGTGGGTGAAGGTGACACCAAGGTCGTCAGCATAGGAGTGAGCTCTGTCAGGGAAGATAGAAGTTGTCTTTCTCAGGGGCAGTGGTAAGTAAAGATGCAGAGCAATTTTTATATAGAAAGAAAGGAAATTCAAAGAGTTCATTTGCTTTGGTAGACTAGGAATGAGGCCTTCTGAAAGCAAGTGTGGCTCCTCCAACTGTACTGTGATGATCATATGTGGAGAAGGGAGTGCTGAAAAGTTCCCCAGATGGGGTAGGGCTGTAGGTGGTGAAAGTGTCAATCATTTATAGGTCTGTTGTTGTCCAGACGAACCTATCTCTAAAAAGGGACAGACATTTTCAGGTACCTAAAGCCATATGAGGTCCAGAGAGATCCCAATGTGTCAATTTTTGCTACTAAAAAGTGACAAGTGCCCAGAAGTTTACATCTGAGATCTTTAAAGAAGAAATGTAGCTCCCTCAACTCACTCTCCCTTCCTTCTTTTCCTCCTTCCTTTTTGTCATCTATTCTTTTTACACTTTGTAGAAGATAGTGCTTCTTGCCCTCCAATGTTATTTTCCTTACAAAGAAAAATAAACCATAAAACTTCGAAAAATTCAACATTAATCCAAACTATAACGAATACAGATTTTATGTTATAAGTTATAATAAAACTCCAGTATTTACTTTTCTGAATCACTCTTTTTTTATTTAATATTATAACAGTTAGTGAAAGAGCTAGGAAGTACTTTGAAATTTCTAACTGAAAACAACTATCCAAATATAATAGGGAAAAATACTGATTAGTTTATATTGAATTAATTAATAACATTGCTTTAGAACAAAATTTCTTTATAGATGTTTTAGATATTAAAGCCAACTTTTATGGTCTTGTCAACAGGTAAACATATATTTACCTATGTATTTATTTATTTTAGGCTTTTAAAACCAAGGACGGCTATCTGGTAGTTGGAGCAGGAAATAATGAACAGTTTGCTACTGTGTGCAAGGTAATGTATAATTTTGGGGATGAATAGATGATATATACAACAATCCACTTTGTACAAAGCCAGGGAAAGTTCAGTTTTGCCTAGAACATAATCAACTTAGGACTCCCCGTGGTAGTACCGAATAATATACCATTTTTATTCTTATAAAAGGGAGAGTCTAAATTAGCACTCTGTATTTTTTATTATGATACTTTGCTGTAGTTTGAAATGAAGAATGATAGTAGCTTAAATTGTCCTAAAACTTTTCCTGTATACCAGTCCAGATAAAAAGGGAAGGGAAAAAAATCAATTTTAAAGGGATTTGTAACACTGGGACTTCTCTTTCCCTTCTTTCCTCTCTCCTTTCCTCCTTCCTTCCCTCCCTCCTTTCCTTTCTTCCTGTTTAATTAGACCTGAATATAGTTAAGCTACTCCCAAGTTTATTTTGTTTACTACTAGAAATTTAAAACATTTTTTTTTCAACTGAGCTTTTGCTGAATGAGTATCTTTCCATAAGATTTATGTTTTAAGCATTTAGAAATTAAGGTTATATTAAAAGTGTTATTCCTCAATGAGGCCTTAAAAAAAGGCTTTGGAATCATTTAAAATAATTTTTTAATGATTAGGGATATTCTAGATTTTTAGCATTGCCTAGACTTTTTTTTTATTTGATGTTTTTACTATTTATCTAGACTTTTGGTATTTTGTTTTAATTTAAGGCCTTAGGTTACCTGTTCACTTTTTCCAGTTTTAATCTCAGAAATAGAATATATTTTTATTTTTTTACATGTATGCTAAAGCCTTACCTATTGAGGATTTTTTTTTTCTTTTTCTGATTGAAAAAGGATTCATTTTTGTACTAACCATATTACCATGAACTTTCAGTTTTATGAAAAATGTCTATGAATTCCTTAGAGGAATCTTATTTATTACACGTAACTTATTATGTACAAAAATCATTCATTACTGTGCCTCTTTTGTATGAGAGATTAACAAGCAGAGCTAAAACCACAGCAAAGGGTGGGAAGTACCGCAAAGAAGGTGACAAATGGAGATAGTTCCGACTGCAGGAAGGGCTGGAACTTCTGAGGTGGGAAAGAGGGGTGCTTTTATAATGGTGGCTCTGAGTAAGTGTAGAGAAAATTGATTCAAACATTTGATCTGGGATCAAAGAATCTTTATTATGAACGGTCAATGTTAAAAATATGAACCATACGGAAGCTGTTGCCTGTGAAGTCATTTGCGTACTCTAACTGCAGAGATGTAAAAGCCAGTTCATTGCTATAAACGAGTACAGATTTTCTTCCTGGGCCATATGTTTTGGAGTTTTCTCTCTCCAGAAAGTTGAGTGGGGGGAGAAAATTACTGGTTGACATATTCTTCACTGTTGAAAATAACTGTACTGAATTCTTTTTATTTTTGATTCATTACTGCTGATCAATTTGAAACTTTTGAACTTCCTCATAAATAACCGTAAGAACATTTTTTGAAAGAGATTTTTATTTCAAAGCAGAATATTTGCCATAAGTTTAGTACTAAAATATGATTTATTGTTATAGTGTGTTATTACACATCTTTTAAAAAGGAGAGAGTATCAGAGGGCCTCAGAGAATGGCATACTTGACCTAGATTTGCCCACATGTTAGTTAGGAATGATAATCCCTGTTATGAGCCATTATGGCAATGTCTATAAAACTCTTTGAGATTCTCAGATGAAAAGTGTTATGTGTATAGGATTTTAGTGTTATTTACATCATTTACTAGGCGTCAGAATGCTGCAATTTGATTGACTTTTTCAAATCTTCATATTTATATCCTTACATGTAAACTTGCCCTAAAAACCTTCTCACCTAAGAAAACATTTTCTGTTCCCCTATTTTGATGCAAAGTTCTCCTCCCCTCCCAGTCATATACAGCGAGTAAATTTCTTCTAAGTATTTTTTATTCAGATTTACTTATTATTGAGGAGTTCATCATTCAAACTGACATTATAGAAGGTGAGGTCCTCAGTTTTTGACAATGAGCCCATCAAAATTGTTCTTTTGCCAAGTAAGTTCCATTGGGAAAGATGGGGAGACATGTGCCATTATTGTGTGTGATTCTGTGATGAATTAGTGGGATTTGCTCATGCCTAGTTTATCTCCAACTTAGAATTTGATATACTGATTGACTAATAATACTTCTTGGAGAGGGGCCCTATTAGGCAGCTTCCATTGGCAGGGATTTGAATGGGAGCAAGAACATTAGATTCAAGGCTTAGGGTCCAGAAAATCTTCCTGTGTATTCAGTGAACCTATAACAAATACTATTTTAGTTCTTTAGCATGATACAGAAGAATAGGGAAAGTGAACATATGTAAGCTATTTTAAGCTGATTGATGCCAACACTAATGGTTATTTGTATTTGAAGTATTGAATATTGACATCCTTTTTAAAGTCATTTAGACTGAAGGCTTCTTTTATTGGAAGCAATATGCATTGGTTCTCATGTTTAGTATGCATAGGGATGTCCTTTAGCCCCATTCCCAAAGATTTTGATTTAGTATATCTAGGGTGAGGAATAGGAAACTTCGATTTTAATAAGCACTGTAGTTGATTTTGGAGCAGGTGGTCTGAGGATATTATAGCATAATTCTTAAGACCTACTATGAATCTTGTCATTAGTCAGGTGACCCCTGGCAAGATACTTAATCTTTTCTAGACATCTATTTCCTTATGTATAAAATGAATATTATAATATATAACTATACTAATATCTAACTTGTGGAGTTTTATGAGTTAGAGAAGTAAAACAATTAGTATAGTCCTGGCTCATAGTATGCACTTAATAAATGGCCTCTATAAAAATTACGTGTGGAGATTCTGGTTCTGGGGAGGATAGCATAAGTACATCCCTCCCTTTCTCTTCCAGTGAGCACAGTGATAAAACCTGGACAGAATAAATGAAGAATCTATTTTAGGACTTTGAAAAGTACATAGTAAGAAAACCAGAATTTGAAGTACCTCTAAACTGGCAGTAAATTTATCAGTTTTCTCTCTAGTTATTCCTTTACCTGAGTACTTGGAAATGAGCACCAGGCAACAGTCTTAGCTAGGAGATGCTCTTTATTCCTGGCACAAAGGAGCATGACAAGGTGAACTCTAATGTCAGAGGGAATGCAGAAGCCTTCAGTTTTTTTTCCTTCTTTCCATCTTTTAATGCCCCAGCCTTCAAGAGATCCTGCAGTGTCAAAAGCAAACCAGCAGGGGCCAAACTCTGAGGAAAAGTAATTTTCTCTTCATTGCTGAGCTGTGAACCCAAAGAAAAGAGTAAATTCTTATTGCTTTTTTCCCTGTCTCCCCATTGCTTGGCCTCTGCCCTGAAAATATCTGGGGAGTGGGATAACCAACAGGGGAGCCCCAGGGAACTGGAAAATGCTAAAGAGATTACAGAAGAGAAAAACTTCACAAAGCAACCATTGAAGTTATTTGTGAACTCTTGAGCTCACCCCTGAACTGCACATGCATAGATCTGATCCTAATCAGCATACCAAAGGTATTGAGAATTGAATTAACAAATAGATGATTGCCCAGGTTATAGTGTGACCATTAAGTGGGGCATATACAAGACATATCCAAACAGCACTGCAAAAGCTTTGAAACCAACATTAGAATCAAAGCACAGAGAAAGTGGGTTGGAACTTGGAGCCTGGACCTAACCAGATCAATTGCCTGCTAAAAATTAATAACAACAAAAATTCTGTGTAGGGTTTAAACAAGACCCAGTGGCTCATAATATACTATTCAAAATGTCCAGGATACTATCCAAAATTATTCAGCATACGAAGAACCAGAACTTGCATGAGAAAAAGCAATCAATAAATGTCAATGCCAAGATGACACAGATGTTGGAATTAATTCACAAAGGCTTTAAAACAGCAATTATAAAAATGCTCTAAGAAGCATCACAGACACTGTTGAAATGAATGAGAAAGTAGAAATATTCAGCAAAGAAATAGAAGATATGAAGAAGAACTGAATGGAAATCTTTCTTTTTTTAAATTATTTTTTTTAATTTCAGCATTTTATGGGGGGTACAAATGTTTAGGTTAAATATATTGCCTTTGCCCTACCTGAGTCAGAGCTTCAAGTGTGTCCATCCCCCAGATGGTGAGCACCACACCCATTAGGTGTGTATATACCCATCCTCTCTTCCTCCTTCCCATCTGCCTGACATCTGATGAATGTTATTACTATATGTGCACTTAAGTGTTGATCAGTTAATATCAATTTGATGGTGAGTACATGTGGTGCTTGTTTTTCCATTCTTGTGATACTTCACTTAGTAGAATGGGTTCCAGCTCTCTCCAGGATAATACAAGAGGTGCAAGATCACCATTGTTTTTTGTAACTGAGTAGAACTCCATGGTATACATACACCACATTTTATTAATCCACTCATGTAGTGATGGGTACTTGAGTTGTTTCCACATCTTTGCGATTGTGACTTGGGCTGCCATAAACATTCTAGTGAAGACTTCTTTTTTATAGAATGTCTTTTGTTCTTTTGGGTAGATGCCCAGTAATGGGATTGCTGGATCAAAAAACTGAAAAATATAATAACCAAGAAAAAAAAATAACATCTCACTGGATGAGCTCAATAGTTCATAAAAGAAATGCCAAGGAACCTGAAGATAGATCAATAGAAATTATTCAATCTGAACAATGGAGAAGAAAAAATGATACCTTCTTGCCACTCAGAAAAAAAAAAAAAAGAACGATCCTCAGGAACCTGTGGGACAATAGCAGAAGTTCAATATTTATTTATGATCTTGTAGTCCCAGAAGGAGTGAATGGAACATTCCATTACATTCATGGAAAAATCAGAAATGAATGAAAAGCAATAGAAATAGTAAATATCTGGGGGAATATAATACACTATTCTTTTCCTAGTGAATTCTTTGAAATATACTTGTTGGGTGAAAGCAAACATGGGATTTTCAGTGTATGTTGATGTAATATACAGACAAATAACAACATAAAAGGGGAGGAAAAAGGGACCTATATGGAAGTAAATTTTCTGTATTACACTTAAAGTGGTAGAATATTGATTCAAAATACATTGTGAAAAGTTAAGCATATATACTACAATTCTCAAAGCAATCATTAAACATCTATACAAAAATATAGCCAAAATAAAAATGGATAAATGTAATACTAAAATCTTTCAATCAACTCCAAAGAAGTCAGGAAAGGGAAAACAGAGAAACAAACAGAAAAATAGTGAAATGATCAATCTAAATAATCTCAAAATATCAATGATAACATTAAACATGAATGGTTTAAATATACCAATTAAAAGACAGAGGTTGTCAGAAAAGATAGGAAAAACATGATCCTACTCTATGCTATATCCAAGAAATTGATTTCAAATATAATGATATTTTTAAGTTAGAGGATGGAAAAATATATAAATAAAAGATACAACTACTAAACAAAAGAAAGCTGGAGTGGGGCTATATTAATAATGGACCAATTTTTGTCATCTTGGAAAACTCATTTGCAACAAATTCTTATGCAAGGAGTTATTTAGCATTTGCACTGGCAGAGGAGAGATTGGATGATCTGAATTTGTTAAGAAGTTGGGCAACTTCACATTTCACAAGGGATGTTTACTTTTCCTATATCAAAAAATTAGATTCCAGTAGTTCTTAGAGTATAACTGATGCTTTGTTTCTATGCCTTCCTATTAGTACAAAGTCCTTTTCTTTCAGTACCAAATTATAGTATGATCTATATTATTTTAGATGACATTTTAAATGGCAGGTGAACTTAACATATGTTGTATCAATAATGCATATAAAGTGATGATAGTGTACATGAACACTATGACCAGTAGGCAAAGACAACTGTCACAATTCCTTTCTGGTAATCAACTCTTTTAAGAGACCATAGCTTACAAGAAGCATCTACATTAAAAAAGTAGATGCTTTATCTACATTAAAAAAGGTGATCTTAGACTTGATGGAATAGAATAATGTCTTGAAGATCATATATCTCAAAGTGTTCACATTGTTTATCCATGGGTCATTCAGTTGGTTGACAAATATGTTATCAGTGCTTGGGATATGTCAGTGAACAAAACATTTAGAATAATCTGACCTTGTGGAGCTTATATTCTAGCAGGACAGACATACAATAAATAATAAACATGATAAAGATGTTAGATAATAAGAGTTATGGGAAAAGAAAAGGACAAGGGAATGGGGAATCAGGGGAATAGGGGTTGAGTCAGGTAGGGTAGGCTGTGGTTGGCATAGAGGAGTCAGGGTAGTTGACATTTGAGCAGACTTGGTGAAGGATGTTGACATTGGAGCAGATTCAGTGAAGGAGATGAGGGGTTAGCTAACTGGATGCTGGTGGAAGAAGTTCTAGGCAAGGGAATAGCTGATGCAAAAGTCCTGAGGCCAAAGTGTGATAGACATGTTCTTAGTCAATCCAGAAGCTGACATGGCTGCAGCAATGAGAAAACAGAGAGAGTATGGTAGGAGGTGATGTCAGAGAGGTACCAGGGCCATATTGTGTGGAGCATTTCAGGTATCATAAAGATTTTGGTTTTTGCTCTCAGGAGGCCATTAGATGATAGAGTATTACAGTTTATGTTCCCATGTCTACATTTTTCATGGAGCCCTCTCTCCCTTTCCTTTCAAACAAGCATATACTTTATTATTTCTTTTGGGGGAAACTACCTAGTTGGAATACTTCACATTTATTTAGTGCTTAGTATGTCAAACACTTTCATGTACATTGTGTTTCATTTTATCCCAGGCAGATGTCTCTTTAGAAATATTTTGAATGGAAGCTGGCATAGCTAAGGTGGAAGGATAATTATTTTGACCATTTCACACCAACTTTAGAGAGAAAAGACAAGGACACAGGGGTAGTAAGTCAAATGCAGAGGACACACAAGAATCCCAGTTACCCTTGAGTACACTCACTTTGTAGGTTTTTTTTTGTTGTTATTTTTGTTTGTTTTTTTAATGTAGCTGATGGTGTTTTCTGGGTTAGGCCAGATTTATAAATTTAACCTGTGACTTAGTGAAGACACTTGCTTTTTCTTGAAATGACTTATTCACTCTTAGGGAAGGAGGGTTTCCCACTGCTGGACAATCGTTGAGGCTGATTCTGGGATCAGGTGTGATGACAGGGAGGTTTCTAGAAAGGGCATTATAAGTGGTTTTGCTTTTTAAAATCTGTAGAGAGTAATACTGTCTTTATTATTCCTAAAGGAAATGAATAAGTGGAACATGTGAAAGAGAAATTATACCATTGAGATGGTCTCTTTCCTTCGGGGAATCTTCTTCAGTTTTCTCTTCTTTGTAAGATGATTAGTGGATTGATTTTATTTAAACTGTGGGAAACAAATGAAACCATTAAATGTTTATATTGAAAGAAAATACATAAATAAAGTCAATGAAGCTTTCTGTAGGCCACAGGGCCTTCCCCCAGCCCATAAATGCTCTGTCTGACTTTCCAACACAACTGCCAAACACTGCCTCCACACATTCTTTGTAAAACTTCTTTTCCATCCCAAATCCACTTGGTACTTTCATTATGGTCTTGTTAAAATTGAAAGATTTCCAAAGGGATTTGCAAGATAGATTTTCCTTTTATTGAGGAGGAGAAAAAGAGGAAGTATATAAAAACATTTCTGGTTGGTATTTCTTCAGGGAGACATTGATAAAAAATAGTGACACTTCTATAGGAAGAAGATCTTTTAATTTGACATTGTTTTAATTTTGAGCATTTGGGCAAATGTATATGCTTTCCCTTTATTTTAGCAGCTTGTATAACATACTGGATAGAACTATTGGGACAGATAATATAATTCTATTTACATGTGCAACAAATGAGTAAATATATCTACAAGGTATATGTTGATTATGGGATTCATATAAGTGTAGACATCCATGATATTGGTTCTCAGGATTAGGTCAGTTTTACCTGATTTTGTGTCTCCCATTTCCTCTAGACAAGAATCTTCTTTTTCTATATACTCATATATACAAGACTTATTATGGCAGTCTGGGAACTCATCTTCTATGTTCCAATATGTACACATACATGCTTAAATGTAGTAAAAAACTCTTATAAATAGCAAACCCAGTCATCAGCATGATCCATCCTAACTGTGTGGTCACTCTTCCTCTTTATTGAGAGGTATAAAGACCAGCAAGAAATATTCTTGGGAAGGGAGCAATAGGCCCTGCACACGAGCATCCACAGGTAGGTACATGAAAAACTTGTGAATTACACTTTAAAATTATTTTTATCTTTTAGATCTTGAATTTGCCTGAGTTGATTGATGACTCCAAATACAAAACTAACCATCTTCGGGTACACAATAGAAAAGAGCTTATTAAAATACTATCTGCACGGTAAGCTTGGGTCTAGTACTCAGACATTTAAAAATTAATATGTAATAAGCATTTATCTAGTGCTTTGTGGGTTTTTCTTGGCTTGTTTGGACCAATTTTTAATTTTCTTCCACTTCGCAAAATTTGTTAGTGGAAAGATATTTCAAAGGTATGTTTTTTCTTTTGTTCAAAAGCGTTTGAAAGCATTTTATATGTTTTATTAAGTACTGAGTCAAAACAATGATACAAATAAGAAAATGACAATGACTTGAATTAAGTTGTTTCTCTGTGGCTTGTAACTGTTTGGGTTTAGTATATCATGATTAGTAATAACAACAGCAACAATAATAATTAAACAGATAATGAAACATTATTTTATACTTTTAATGTGTTAAATGCTCTATGTACATTATTTCATTTAACCCTTATAATCACCCCATGAGGTAAATTCAATTATTCCTGTTTTACAGATGAGGAAACTAAGGCAGAGGGAAGTGAGGTCAATAGTTTGTTGGCTTTTCTGAGCCCCTCTTGTGAATCATGATGTTATTTCTGAGTCATTGAAAATGCCATGGTGAATTATGGGTCATAAAATATTAATTAATTAATGCTAATTAATTATTTGATTTCAAAATTATTTTTTTCACGTCTGGTTGTTCTTTTGTAACACCTATACCAATATTTCACATTTGTCTGAAAAAAAGTAATAATTTTTACTTTTTCCTATTAGTTTCACTTTTCTTCCTCTATATATCTTCTCAATCTGTAGAAATAGTTTTGGGGGATCCAAATGCCTGCATTTACTGTTCTGCAATATTGAAAATTTGCTCTCATCATGCCAATAAATTGGATACTTTTGTTCAAATATCCAGTCTTTTGAAGAGGCCCATGTGTTTACATGTAGTATATATCAAAGTTCTTAAAAATAAAATTATGCTAATGTTATTTTTATTTCTGTTCCCTTTGTATTTGGGGATCTCTACATGAGTATCTGAGTCAACATTCATTTACCTACTTTTTCTCTTTCCTAGATTTTAAAGACTTCTCTACACTGCCTGTATCTTTTCCATGTGCTAAGTGCTCTTCACATCAATAGGGGCTCTGTGTGTGGGACTGATATACACAGAGTGGGGGAATGAGACTTGGGTGCCCCTTTCCTGGTCATTAGTTAAATATAACTCCAATTCTACCGCAAAGCCCCAGAGCCCTCAGTGATTAACCTTTCTCCACATGAGAATTGGCCATTTATTTCTGCTTTTTGTATCTTTGCATCTCAAGCACTTTTAATTCATTTAATTCATTGATATGACTTTTTCCTTTCACACCATGGTTACCAAGTTTCAATAATAGCCACTTGTGAGAACCTTATCAAAAGCTCTTTGATAGTCTAAATAAATCATGTCCATGCTGTGAGAAGAGTGAATCCCAAGAAAAATATAAAACCTAGGCAGATACAAGTGTCATCTTGGTTATTTAGTTGCCAGCACTTTTATAGCTTCAAGAACCACAAAGTTAAGTCATTGGTTTCCTATATGCTAAAATTTTATTTCTCTGCTCAATTCTATTATAGGATTCAAATGTAGAAAGACTTTTGGCAGCATCTGTAACAGATTAATTTCTATTTTCCCTCATTGGGGTGAATTAAGTAATTTGTCACTTTATTCTTGCTGGTTTCATATATATATATATGAAAGTGGGTTTTTTTTTTCATTTTGGAACACAACAGGTTGGTAGATTTTATTTAGAACTAACAAGGAATAAGGAACAAACTACAAGGAAGAGACTAGGAGGGTAGTTTGAAGAGAGGAAATTTGGGAAAGAGGTCACATTATCATAGGTGCTGCTGTTAAAACACAGACTGCAGATAGAGCCCTTGGTTGATTGCCTCGAGGCCAGGTTTTGTGCTTTCTTCTGCTCATGTGTTGACATTTTTGGGTGCTCTCTTAGGATGTGCAGTTCTTCAGGTCTCCTCCAGCTTAAGTCTTTTCTCCTCCATGGTGGTTCAAACAGTGACAACCAGGGAAGATTGGAATATTGATTCATTCCCACTTATAACCTTGTCATTTGTTTTTCTGAACCAATGTCACTGGATTCATTATTAGTGCTTGACTTTCAGAAGTCTCTGCAAGTGCTTTAAAAATTATCATTTTCATTATATGAGTCTCTGTTTTTTCACTATTCAAAAAATTTAGTGGCTCTCCATAAATTACAGGATTAAATCTGGTCTCTTCAGTCTGACATCCAGGATCTTCCACAATCTGACATCACCATTTCGGTCCAACTTTTCTCATAACTGCTTCTGTAGGAAGCCTCTGCTCCAGCCATACTCCCATTCAGTTTCTTTTGTTTCGTCTCTGAAATGATTCTCAGATTTGCTATTATTCTGAAACAGAGTCATGCTTCAAGGCCAGTTCTTTATCCCCGTGAAACTACCCTCTAATATCTCTATCTGAGTTCCCAGTCACATGACAGCACCTCCAGGAAAGAAGGTGTCCTTTCTGTGCCTTGTCAGTTGTCCAATGCAAGCACAACCAGCGTCAGTTGTTGTTGGGAATGTTGTTGCTCAGGGGTCTGCTCAACATTCGAGTCCTGGTCAGCACACCATGACTTTCATTTTGTAGCCATCTCAACTTGTGAATCACTTTGTTTCCTAACAACAGAGTTACATTAGCTCCCAACCACAAAACGGAGGTCGGGAGAAGGGAAGGAGAGGAACCAACATTTGATGGATGCCAAATACATGCCAAATAAGTATTATTCTTCTTTCCATTTTAATGATGAAAATTCTGAAGTTTAGGGAGGTTAGTCTCAAGGTCAGGCACATAGTGAATAGTTAGAATGGAATTCAAAAGGCCACACCTTTTCCATGTATCACATTGCCTCCTTGAAGTGGCACATGAAATGTTACTGTGTCCTTGTTTGTTTATTCACTTAATAAGTATTTACTGAGCACTTACGATGTAGTAGGCACTGACTATACCAAGCATTGGTGATAGAGAACAGAAAGAAACAGATAAAGTAAATTACTGAAAAATAATGCAGGGAAGGCAAAGGAGGAGTGCCAGAAGTGTGTGTGAGGCTGGCTATTTCCTTTAGGCTGGTCAGAGAGGGCTTCTCTGATAAAGTGACATTTGAGCAGAGGCCTGCAAGAAGTGAGACAAGATGTGGGAGGAGGGCCTGCAGATATCTGGGAGAAGGATCCTAGGCAGAGTTTAAGGAGTAGCGCAGAGGATAGTGTGCCTTGAGCTGGGAGCAAGAGGAAGAGCGGCGGTGGTTGGGTTCAGAGAGGGTAGAGGAGGTGGCAGGCAGAGCCTGTTGTGAAAGTCATGACAGCCCTTGTGACAAAGTAGTTTCTTAACCTTGTGAAATAAAGAATTTTTTTTTTTTTTTGGTCAGAAATGAGTTTGTTTATCAGCAACTTCTATTTTCTATCTAACCTGCAGAGAATTCTTGAAGGGAATACTCTACATGGTACAGTTCAAAGTATTTCAGTACCACAGAGTCAGCAAGACCTCCTTGCTCACCTGGAGAGGTCAGAGAGCCTGAGTTTAAAGGGCATATGCTTCTTATTCATTCATTCATCCATTCATTCGTTCACTGTCACTTATTTGTGCAACAAATATTTATCAAACACCTACTTTGTGCCAGGGACTGTTTTGGGCACTGGGAATGTGCACTGAAAAATAGACAAAAATCCTTGCCCTCTTGGACTTTCACCTTTGCAGACTTTCTAAAAGACATGTTTCCTTTGTTGTTTTCTATTTTTTTTAGCCCTTCCACAAAACATTTGTTTTGATGGGCTTAAGAAGTTAGTTTTCCATATTTTTCATATAATCTTTTTTAAAAAAATTTGCTTCCACAAAAGTATTGCAGCTAACAGGCTCTGCCTGTTAGTCATTTGTCTTCTAATCTTTTTTTTTGAACATGTTGATATACATGCTACAATTTTTAAAAATGTGGTTTGTCAGTCATTTCTATAGTAAAAGTATAGCTTTAGTAACAGTAGTTGTAGTAATTATAGTTACTCACATGGTAACTACAATACCATGTGAGTACCATATTTTTGCCTGTTGTCTGTTATTAAACATTACATACTAAGCACTTTCCTTTAATTCTCATAGACACTTTTGTCAGCCTATATTTTTATTTTAGAAAATCTTTGAAATATGTAAATATGTAGAAGGATTTGTGAGAGTGATTTTGCACGGCACATAACTTTAAAAACAAACTCTAGGAATGATGGACTCACTGTGTTTATTTTTAAAAAAATTCTCACCCCTTACACCCAATTTAATATCCAAAAGTCAAAACAGAAGCATGTATGGGTTTTTACAAAGTCTGCTCTCCTAAATATACACATAGCTTTCCTCTTGTGTTTCAAAATCTTCCTTCCAAAGTATTTTTTTTTTGGGGGGGGAGCAATTTTTGAATACTTCTCTCCCTGCCCATGGTGAGCATTTTTTAAAACTTTTTGGAATCAGGTGATTCTACTATGAAATTTGTAGACTCTTTTGAAAGTACTTAACCAGAGATGTCAGTCACTCACCTCACTTCTCTGTTATTCTTGCTAAGTACAGTTTGATACTACTCTCTGAAGACGGTCAGCCTCATTCAGGACAGCAGCTGCCTGTTTTGGTCATCAGCTTCCTTTCCACAGCTAGCACACACAATTCCCCTCACATGCTCTCAGGTGTTACTATTCCCCCACCATGGCTGTGAGCAAGTCTTTTTTTTATTAATCTAAAGATGGAAGACTTTCCCCTGGAGCTTGCCATTTTATCCACGGTGTTGCAGAGAGTCTGTTTACCCAGCTGCTAACATTGAAAACTAAAAGTTAAAGCATGTTAAAAATCCCTAGCTAAAAAACAGAAGAGGAGATCTAATGGAGACTAATCCAGGGCCAGATAAAACAAACCTCTTCTTTGCAATGCCAAGGAGCAACAAACTCTTAAACTTGTGCTACTCACACACCGGATCAGCATTTTTACAATAGTTAGGACCTCAAGAGGGCGATTGAAAGTTGTGATGTGTATGGAAACCAAAAAGAGAAGGATAAAGATGATGTATTAGTGGTTGGGGAGAAATAATAGGAAGACATGAAATGAGAATGAAAGAAAAGAGAAACAATGGAGAAAATATTAATAGAGATAAAATTCATTTTTATTTCTCCTCTCTTCCTCTCTTCACCAACATTTATTGGCCATGGACTGTATACCCTGATACTACAGATACAGAGATGAAAGGTGAAGCCTGGGCTCTTGAGTAAGTCAAGAAAACAAACAAGTCAAGCATAGATTTATGTAGGTAGGGTGTGGGAAGTGCCAGGGTAAACATGCACAAACTGCCTGGAGGAACCCAGGGAAGGGCAACTACTATTATTTTAATCTGGGAAAGTCAGGGAAGGCTTCCTGGAGAAGATGCCATTTGAGATGGGTCTTGAGGGACAAATAGAATTAAGCAGATGAAGAAAAATTTAATTCGAAGAAGGAAATATTGACCTGAGTGTAATTTTATAGCAAGAAGAAGAAAAAAAAACATGGGAGAAGAAAAGAAATAGAGATGGTCCCCAACTTACTGTTTTGCCCAACTTAGAATTTTTTGACTTTATGATGGTGCAAGAGTGATATGCATTCAGTAGAAATCACACTTCGAATTTTGAATTTTGGTCTTTTTCAGGCTAGTGATATATGTGGTATGATCATCTCTTGTGATGCTGGGCAGTGGCAGTGAGCAGTAGCTCCCAGTAGACTCACTACTATAAGAGTCTGAGCATGTTTAAGGCTAGGCTAGGCTAAGCTATGATGTTCAGTTGGTCAGGTATGTTAAATACCTTTTCATCTTATGATGTTTTCTACTTACAATGGGTTTTATCAGAATGTAATTCCATCCTAAGTCAAGGAGCATCTGTAGTTTGGAAAGATGCAGATGACAACATTTAAACTGGTTTTGGAAAAATGTTACACATATAAAGCAAGTGCATGTCAATATAGTAAGTCAACATAAATAAAACTGACAGCTTTAGGTAAATTCACCTTTTAAAATACTGTGGCAATTCCTTTACTAAAATGAATAATTATTTTTGGTTTTGGATAATTTGATATTTTCTTAAGTTTCTGACATATGATTGAATATTTACTTATTTTTAGAGTTTACTATATTAAAATTGTGAAATTATTAATAAATGCCCTAATTCAAGATCTTCAAAACAGAAGTGCTAAACAAATATTTGTTGAATCAAGGGCTTATTAATGACGTTCCTCTAATCTGATCATTTTCAAAATTTGATGTCAAATTATTTTGAATAGACTTCTGCAAAATATTGTAGAGTTGGATCTGGAATATTTCTTGGCAGTTAAGAGAGGAACTGTAACTTCAAATGTGCCTAAATCTAATGTTAACTAAGAAAACCCTGATATCTTGATACCATTAGGCAAATTTGATCATTCCACTTCCCTGCCTGGGTCTTTCTGGGGCTCTCAGCAGCTTTAATGATAAATTCAAATCATTTACCTTAACACATGTAATTACACCTCCTACCTTGTTGGCTTTGCTATAGTCACACAGCCACGTGCTGCTCCTTATAATGTGTACTGCTCTTTTAATCCTCTGTGTCTTCTCACATGCTCATTGCTTAACAATAAACAATAATGAAGCTTCCTAATCTCACTGGTTACTACCAGTCCTTTAAAATAAGCACAAGTTTTAGAAGCTTTTCCTGCCTTGCTTGTCTGTTCTAGGCCTCCCCTCTTATGCTGCTGCATCAAAGCATATACCACACTCAGCTGTCATCAGTCATTTACTTCTCCTCCTCCTTGAAAAGACAGTGAATTTCTTAAGGCAGAGACTACGTCTTTTTGATTTTTATTTCTAGTGCCTATTTGGGTTTCCAACACTCAATCGATGTTCTTTCTGTTAATGAATGTGTGAACCAACAATGTGCAAAGCTTTCCAAGTATGGCAGAACTGGCCAAAGGAAAGAGAGGGAAGATCCCCAATGTCTGGTCCTATGAAACAAAAAGAAGAGAGCAATGGTGGTTGGAAATGAGGACTCTGAACTAAGTAGAGAGTTGTATTATGATCAAAGAATGTCAGAAGACCTGAATTTGAGACCCTAGTTTCCATTGATCAGCCCTAAAGCTCAGGTTCTCCCAAATCAGATATATGTAACAATACCTACATCACAATGAGAATTGAAACACAGGAACAGGCCTGAAAGCAGCTAGCACAGTATGAGCCTGTGGGAGTGCTCAGTCTGTTTGAGGATAATCTCAATCCTTAGAGAATCATACATTACAGTTCCCCAATTATTTTTTTCTATTTCAAAATATTAAAGGGTTACAAATGTTTTAGGTTATGGATCATTTTGTAATGCTTGAGTCCTGGCTAAAGGTGTGCCCATCATCCAAATAGTGTTCATAGTACCCGTTAGGTAGGTTTTTACCCCTCCCCTTTTACCTCCTCCACCTTGGTTGATTAGCACTGAGTTATACTTCCCTCTGTGCACATGTGTGCTCATCAGTGAGTTCTAAATTTAATAGTGAGTACATGTGGTGTTTGTTTTTTCATTCCTGAGATACTTCACTTAGGAGAATGGTATCCATTTCCATCCAGATTGTTGCAAAAGGTATTAATTAATCATTTTTATGGCTGAATAGTACTCCACAGTATACATGTACGACATTTTGTTGCTCTACTCATGAATTGATGAGCAGTTGGGTTGATTCCACATCTTTGCAATTGTGAATTGTGCTGCAGTAAACATATGAGTGTGGATGTCTGGGTGTGTTGTTGATAAAAAGTCTTTCTATCTTTTGGGTAAATACCCAGTAGTGGGATTGCTGAATCAAATGGTAGTTCTACTTTTAGTTCTTTGAGGCATCCCCAGTGAGGTTGTACCAGTTTGCAGTCCCACCAACAGTGTATAAGCATTACTTTCTCTATGGAACCATGTAAGCATCTATTGTTTTTGGAAGTTTTGATAAATGTCATTGTAACTGTGGTATGATTATATCTAATTCTGGTTTTAATTAGCATTTCCATGATGATTAGTGACATTGAGCATTTTTCATATGTTTATTGGCCATTTGTCTTTCTTCTTTTGAGAAGCTTCTGTTCATGTCTTTTGCCAACTTGTTAATACGATTGTTTTTTCCTTGCTGATTTGCTTGAGTTCGTTGTAAATTCTGGTTATTAGCCCTTTATCAGATGTGTAGCTTGCAAATATTTTCACTCATTCTGTGGGTTGTCTATTTGTGCTGTTGATTGTTTCCTTAGCTGTGAAAAAGCTTTTTAGTTTAATCAAATCCCATTTATTAATTTTTGTTGTTGCCATGATTGCCATTGGGATATATATTTTTTTATTTTCTAATAAGACTAAATTTATTCAATACCCTAGTAAAAGTTTTGATTATAAGTATCCAACAGTATAAAAAGTACAAAACAGATCTGTAGATTTCTAATATATTAATACAAAGTACATGACTACATACAGTACATCCTACAGGCAAAGAGAGGTGGAAGGGAAAAAAGAAGACTGTGGTTGAGGTCTAGTAATAAATAAATAAATACAGAAGTAGAGATGATCCATATTATAGTATATTCTACCCCCAATACTGCAGCCAAAATGTACCAAAAAAAAAAAAACAACATTTCAAAATAACTCAGGAGGATGATAATGGCTGGGATCTTGTAATTCACCTCAAAGGCTGTGAGAGAGCCGATCCAACCAGCTGTGTAGTCTATGCATATGGTGGCTTATAGCATATAGGTTTTTTTCCAAAAGGAGGAAATATCAAATGTTTAGAGTAAGAACTATAAAACTATAGGGTGTCCATAAAAAGTGGCTCACTCCTTATTGTTACACTATCCAATTTTTAAAATCCAGTTTAAAAAATAAGCACTGAGTCATGTCATTATAAGGGAGGCAAATGCTCCTCCCTCATTATGAAAATAAGTCTGAACTGGTGATATTTTTCTCCTGAACTTTTAGAAAAGAGGCAAGAAGAGTACTTTGGTTTGGGTTCAAGTGAGAGGCTTTTAATGAGAATTTTAGAATTGAAGAACTCCAAGTTCAGGATATTTCAATGTTCAAAAAGCCTGAATAACAGAAGCCAAACCAAAACCAACCCACTTAGCATTAACACACACCTCTTTTCTTTTAGTAAATTTTACTTTAAATATAGAGTGAAAAACAATAAAAACCCTAATAGGTTAAAACAAGTCAAACATCCACTCTACACAGATAAAATCTTCACAAAGGTCAACTGAAGTAATCCAGAGCTAAAACTGAATTGTGCAGATTTTCAATGAAGTCATCAACAGTCATGTAACACAAACAAAGTCAATTATTTACATACTTGGCAAGCCCTCTAAGAAAATACGCCCCCAAAAGCATCAACCTTTGTTTTGTCCCATCTTGAAGACTTGAACATTTTATTTCTCAGATAGTTTAACATTTTTAATCAAGTGTGCTGTCTACCGTAGGGTAACGCTTTGGTACTATTCACCTCGGGTCTCACCTATCCCAAAGATTTGCCATTCCCCCCAAAAGAGCTTTCATTCTGCTTTAGAAATTTCACATAAATTAAAATCTGTATCAAATATTAATATGAAGGGAGGTGGCACAGGATGCAAAATATACAGTCAAGTTGACCTCTCTGTATATTTAGAAATTACTTTTTCCTTCAAGGTATTTCTAACAGAAAGCTCAGTCTGTCCTGCTTAATAATCAGTAGTACAGGTTTGAATCATCAGAACCTTGGCAAGACCTTAATATTTCAAAATTCTTAACAATTACCTCTAGGAGCAAGTCTGTGTTGCTGAGTTATGACAACTTTATTATCATGAGGGAAAACAAGTGTAGTCAGCCATCTTAAAATATGCCCCAACCACTGCTTCTCAATATAGAAAGACTAAAACTACATACTGTTTATCATACAACAAATCCCATCACTGTCCCCTGAAATTCCCCTTAGTTTCATTCATTAGAAGGGGATTTAAAAAAAAAAGAAGACTTAAAGAGCACTTTACAGCAGCATTCAGCTTTCCTATGCAATACTCAGCATCTTAAATATTATATACAATTCTTTTTTTAGTAAGCTAGACACTGGCTTCAGAGGTTGTGGAACTGGGGGGAAAATAACCCATTCGAAACTATTCTAGAAGTTGTCTTTTGGCAGAATAGCAGGTATCCAAGTTAAAAATAGGAGGGCCAGCTTGTTGCTTTGTGGTCTTTTCAAAACTTAAATCATTTTTTGTTCCCCTTCTACATAAAAACCTCAGTCACCACTCCTGAGTGGAGATGGGCAGAGGCTCTGGGCCCTGCTCCTCCGGCTTCTCAGCAGCTGCTTTCTTATTGCTGCAGCAAGGCTTGAATAGATGTGTGTCGATGAGGACTTCCCCAAAACGGCCTTTGTAGATAATCCCACAACATATTTTCTGTCTTTTCCAGTATGTGAGATCTAAAAAGGAAAAAACTGGTGTTCTATTAGAACCAGAAGCCATCTCTGTATCTGAGCCATCATCTGACTGGTTACTATAACACGGAGACTGAGCTGGGGAGGCACTTGAGGTGGTACTGTGAGCATCAGAATTATGACGTTTAAATTCCTTCTGCAGTTTACTGATCTGGTAGCTTTTTATCCTGTTTCCAGACAGAGTTTTCACTTTCTTTGGTTTCAATGTAGTCTTTAGGCTGGGTCCTGCCCTTACATCTACCACATGATTCCAGTTTTTTTTTTTTGATCCTGCTGGCAACTTCTTCCATCTTTTCACAAGCAGGACAAAGGCATTGCAGATGTCTCCCGAACGAGTTTCATGCAACCCAAAACAGCTCTGGAAGTCCTTTTCATAGCGTTTACTGTCAGTGAATCGAGAACTGGAGGACTTAGCTCTGCAAATACAGCAGCCCTCTATACTTCGGTACATCTTTGGCTTGTGAAAACCAAACATCTTTTCTTCTGGGCAACAGTCTACGCCACAGGTGAACAAATGGGGAGCAAAACTTCAGGCTCCGAAGACACCCCGGGCACCAGGCGCTCTTGGGCGTGGTCCGAGGAGAGCAGGCGTCTGGAAGCCGGGGCCGCTCCTGAGCGACCGCGTGTTGCTCTCATTGTCGCATCCGCATCCCTCCGGAGTTCATTGGGATATTTTTCATAAATTCTTTGCTTAGGGCAATATCTAGAAGAGTTCCCTCTTATATTTTCCTCTAGAATTCTTATAGTTTCATGCCTTGGATCTAACTCTTTTGTCGATCTTGAATTAATTTTTGTGAATTATGAGAGGTAAAGGTCCTGTTTCATTCTTCTGCATGTGGCTGTCCAATTTTCCCAGCACCATTTATTAAAGAGGGCTTCTTTTCCCCATCGTACGTTGTTGTCTGCTTTGTCAAAGATCAGTTGATTGTAGGTAGATGGTTTTATATCTGGGTTCTCAGTCCTGTTACATTGCTCTGTCTTTATTTTTGTACTAATACCATGGTCTTTGGGTTACTATAGCCTTGTAGCATATCTTGAAGCCTGGTGCCTTGATGCCTCTATATTTGTTTTTTTTTTTTTTGCTTAAGATTGCTTTGGCTACTTGGGCTCTTTTCTGGTTCCAAACAAAGCGTAGAATTATTTTTTCTAGATTTGTGAAGTATGACATTGGTAGCTTGATGGGGATTGCATTGAATTTGTAAGTCACTTTGGGTAATATGAACATTTAACAATGTTGATTATACCAATCCATGAGCATGATATATTTTTCCATTTGTTTGTATTATCTGGGATTTTGTTTCTCAGAGTTTCATAGTTCTCCTTGTAGAGATCTTTCATCTCCTTGGTTAAGTATATTCCTAAGTATTTTATTTTCTTTGTAGATATTGTGAATGGCATTGAATCTTTGATTTGACTCTTGGCTTGACTGTTATTAGCATATAGAAAAGCTAGTGATTTACGTACATTGATTTTGTAACCTGAGACTTTGCTGAATTTATTTGTCAGTTCCAGGACGGTCTTGATGGAATCTAGATACAAGATTGTATCATCAGCAAAGAGCGATAATTTCACTTCTTCTTTCCTGATTTAGATACCCTTAATATTCTTCTCTTGTCAGATTGCCCTGGCTAAGACTTTAAGCACTATATTGAATAGAAGCGATGACAGTGGGCATGCTTGTCTTGTTCTAGTTCATAGGGAGAATGCATTCAGTTTTTCCCCATTCAGTATGATGTTGGCTATGGATTTTTCATATTAGACATGGCTTTTTATTATGAGATATGTTCCTTCTATGCCGGGTTTCTTGGGGGTTTTTATCACAAAAGGTTGCTAGATTTTGTCAAATGATTTTTCTGCATCTATTGAGAGGATCATATGGTGTTGCTTTTATTTATGTGGTGAATTTTATTTATTGATTTATGTATGTTGAACCATCCTTGCATCCCTTGGATGAAGCCCACTTGGTTTTGGTGAATTATGTTTTTGATATCCTGTTGAATTCAGTTTGGTAGTATTTTATTGAGGATTTTTGCATGTATATTCATAAGGGACATTGGTCTGTAGTTTTCTTTTTTTGTTGTCTCCTTTTCCTGGTTTTGGTATCAAGGTGATAGTGGTTTTGTAGAATGAGTTGGGGATGATTCCCTTCTTCTTGATGTTATGGAATAATTTCTATATTATGGGTACCAGGTCTTCTTTGTAGGTCTGATAGAATTCAGTAGTGAACACATCTGGTCCAGGGGTTATTTTGAGGGAAGTTTTTTATTACTGTTTCAATCTCACTTTCATTATTGGTCTGTTCAGGAGTCCTATTTCTTCCTGGTTGAGTCTTGGGAGGTTGTGTTTTTCCAGTATTTTGTCCATTTTTTTTACGTTCTCTAGTTTATGAACATAGAGATTTATATAGTCGTCATGGATGATGTTTTGTATTTCTGTGGTATTAATTGTGATTTCACCATTTTCATTTCTGATTGAGCTTATTTGGGTCCTTTCTCTTCTGTTCTTGGTTAGTGTAGCAGGAGATTTGTCAGTTTTGTTTATCTTTTCCAAGAACCATGTTTTAGTTTTATTAATCCTTTGTATTGTTTTATTTTTTTCCAATTCATTTAGTTCTTCTCTGCTCTTTGTTACTTCCTTTTTTCTGGCTGGCTTTGGGTTTGGTTTGTTCTTCTTATTCTGGTTCTTTGAGGTGTGACAATAGGTTGTTAATTTTTGATCTTTCTACCTTTTTGACGTAGGCATTTAAGGCTATGAATTGTCCCCTGAGGAATGCTTTTGCTTTGTTTGAAAGATTTTGATAGCTTGTGTCCCCTTTGTCATTCAGTTCAAAGAATTTTTTCATTTCCTTCTTAATTTCCTTCTTGACCCAGTAATCATTCAGCAGTGGGTTGTTTCATTTCCATGATTTTGTGTAGGTTTGAATGTTGCTCTTGTAATTGATTTCTAGTTTTATTCTGCTACAATCTGATAAGGTACATAGTTGATTTTTTTTAATTTGTTGAGACCTGTTTTGTGGCCTAAGATATGATTAGTTTTGGAGAATGTCTCATGTGCTTCTAAGAAGAATGTATATTCTGTAGTTTTTGTGTAGAATGTTCTGTAAATGTCTGTTAGGTTCATTTGATTTAGAGTTTGCTTTAAGTACATTGTTTCTTTCTTTATTTCTTGCTTTGATGATTTGTTGAGCTCTGATAGTGGGGTGTCGAGGTCCCTGGCAATTATGTTTATTTCTTATTTATTTATTTCTTCTTATTTATTTTTTATTTGTTTCCCCTGTTTATTTCTTTGCTTAGTTTTGGTAAAATTTGCTTTATGTATCTGGGAGCTCCTGTGTTGGGCACATATATATTTAGGATTGTTACGTCTTCTTGTTGGATAGCTCCCTTAACCATTATATAATGACCCTCTTTGTCTTTCTTTATCTTTGTTCCTAAAGTCAATTTTTATGTGATATTAAAATGGCTACTTCTGTTCTCTTTTGATTTCCATTTGTATCGACTGTTTTTTCCATCTTTTCATGTTGAGTTTGTGTGCATCCTTTGATTTAGATGTGTTCTCTGGAGACAGCAGATACTTGGGTTCTGTTTTATATCCATTCATCCAGGCTGTGTCTTTTGAGAGGTCTATTTAATCCATTAACATTGATTGATGGCATTGATATGTGGGATGTTGGTCTGTTCATCTGGTTGGGTGGTCCTTTACTGCTTTGTTTTACCTCTTGTTCTATTGTTTTATAGTTGTGAGTGTTGGGGCTTTTTTTAAAGGTGAATTTACACTTGTGGGTATCTATTGTGCTGAGTTGTGTATAGTGCTATTCTGAGTATTTTGTTCAAGGCAGGTCTGGTCATGGCAAATTTCCTCAGTGTTTGCACATGCAGAAAATACTTAATTTCTCTGTCAATTGTGAAACTTAGTTTTTCAGGATACAAAATTCTAGGCCGGCAGTTGTTCTGTTTAAGTCAATTGAAGATGGGGCCCTAATCCTTCCTGGCTTGTAATGTTTCCACTGAGAAGTCTGCATATAATCTAATGGGTTTTCCTTTGTAGGTTATTTGATGCTTTCATCTTGCTGCTTGCAGAATTTTCCCCTTCATTTTGACTTTGGCTAAGTTGATTACTAAGTTTTCTGACGAGGACCTATTTGCTATGAATCTTCCTGGTATTCAATGTCCATCTTATATCTGCATGTCTGAATTTTTGGTGATACCAGGGATATTTTCCTCAATAATTTCCTCAAATAGTTTTTCCATGCTGTTAGTTTTTTCTTCTTTTCCCTCAGGGATACTTATAAATCAAATATAAGTCCACTTTACATAGTCTCATTTCTCTCTCAGTGATTGGTCAGACTTTTTTATACTCTTCTCTGCCTCTTTGAATGACTGAGTTACCTTGAGAGCCTTGTCTTCAAGCTTTGAGATTGTTTCTTCTCCTTGGTTTAGCCTGTTAAGCTTTCTGCTACATTTTGAAATTCCCTAAATGACCCTTTCATTTCTTTAACTCTTTCTTATGTTGTCTAGCTCTTTAGTGACTTTTTCATTTTATTTAATTGATTTCCTGAAATATGTTTTTGGCTTCTTTTTGTTGGTTTTCAACATTCTCTTCAATTCCATTCATCTTATTTTCCATCCATATTCTGAATTCCATTTCTGAAATTTTGGCAATTTCTTTGTGTGTGGGCCCCATTAGTGTTACTCTATTGTGTTCCCTTGGGGGTGCTAAAGTATTTTATTTTTTCATTTTGCCAGGATTCTTTTGCTGCTTTCTTCTCATCTGGCTTCCCTTATCTCATCTCTGGGTTAATAGAATTGCAGGGCACCTGTTCTTCTTTGCTGGTGACTCTTTCAAACCAAGTCCAGGAGTGACAGCTGCTCAGGGTTAGGGGGTTCTGAGTGAAGTGTTGGACCTCAGGATGGGGGTGGATTCTGCTGTCCTGGTGGTAGTGTTGGAAACTCACTAGTGGAGTCTTGGGAGCCAGGCACAATTCTGGGATCTCAGTGTTGTAGCCGCAGGCCCAGTGGGGGCCCTGGAACCATAGGGGCAGAGTCTTGGACTTGGGCCCAGTGAGAACTTTGGAGCTGGCTGTGAGGATTTTTGGGGCACAGCCAGCCTATGGAGGGCAGTTCTACTGGTGTGGGAACTTATGATGCCCTGTTACACAGTCTCTATTGTCTAGGGTCGGTGTAGGTAGACCAATGCTGCTGTTCGACCTAGGTTCTCCCCCAACACCTAGAATCCACTGATGCAGTCTCCCCAGGCTTCCCAAGTGGTGCCTGTGGTGTCTGGAGCTCCTGCTCTGTTTGGTTCCCACACCAGGTAGGAGATGTGCTCAGCCCCCAGTCACAGGGCACTACACAGGGGAGTGTCTATTCCCTCCCTGGCTCAGCAGGGTTGATACAAAGGCTATTGTTAGAATGCTGGGTCCCATGGAGACCTGGCTCTGTGCACCAGAATGATCAGGTTGGCATTGGCTGCAGAGACCTAGGATTGGCAGGCATCAGCTCTCTGCCACGCTGCTGTCTGGTGGAATGTCTCTGCACAGACTCTGCATAGCTCCCCAATCAGCCCAGAGGTCTGAAGTGGAGCAGGGAGATCCCTCACAGCTTGAGCTATCTGTAACTTTTGTTTCTCTTCTAAAAAAGCAATATTTCCTCAGGTTGCTTCTATCCTGCTGT